CAGTCTCAAGTTAGTTCAGAGACTAGAAGCAAGTGACATAATAGTAAAAAATGGAAAAGAACGAATTTCTACAAGCAATCGAAAAGGTTTCGAGTTTCATTGTAAATTACTTGGAAACAGTTGGTGAAAAGTAAGTTAAGTCAACTTAACTTAAGTGATATTGTTAATGATTGTGTTTTAAAGGAATGTTTTACCTGGAGTTCAACCCGGATATTTAACACCACTCACTGAAGAAGAATGCCCAAAAAGTGGAACAGATTTTGAAGATATCTTTACCGAATTTCGTGAGAAAATTATGCCTGGAGTGACACATTGGGCCTCGCCACACTTTCATGCTTATTTTCCAGCTGGGAATTGTTATCCATCAATGGTTGCTGAACTAATGATGGCTGGTATCAATAATGTTGGAGTTAACTGGGTAATTAATATTTTTCATTTTTTTTAAACAAATCTTTAAAAGTTTTTATTTAAAATTTATAGGAAGCTAGTCCTGCTATGACTGAATTGGAAACCGTGGTTTTAAATTGGTTAGGGAAGATGATGAACATCCCTGAAGAGTTTCTGAATAGTTCTGATGGTCATGGTGGAGGAGTTTTCCAAGTAAATATTTTTTTTTTTTCAAAAAAAAATTCTAAATTTAATTTAATTTAATTTTTTTTTGTAGAATACTTCAACTGAATCAACCCTCTTGTCTTGCATAGCAGCAAGAAAAGCAACAATAGATAAATGGCTTCAACTACGCCCGAATTGGTCAGAATCTCAAATATCCTCGAAACTAACAATCTACACCTCAATCCAATCTCATTCCTCTGTAGAACGAGTTGGCAGTATGACGGCTTTAATCACCCGAATTATCCCTTGCAATGAAGAAGGCAAAGTGACCGCGGAAATCTTACAATCTGCTATTGAATCTGATATTGCCCAAGGACTGATCCCTTGTTTCTATGTGGCTACTATGGGTGCAACAACAACTTGCTCATGGGACGACCTCAGTGAAGTAGGACCAGTATGTGAAGCGCATGATGTATGGATGCACGTAGACGCAGCATATGCAGGAGCTGCTTTAACCTGCCCAGAATTACGTTACATCTCAAACGGTCTAGACTACGCAAAATCATTTGCAGTGGGTTTACATAAATGGTTCCTAATGTCATTCGATGTGGTGGCTTACTGGTTGAAAGACACCACAGCTCTTTCTGATGTCATGTATGTCGACAGGGTTTACCTCAAACATAACCACAACAAGGGTATTGATTTCACCCATCTACAAATTGGAAACGGACGTAAATTTAAAGCTTTAAAAGTTTGGATGACCCTAAAATCTTTCGGTGTAAAAGGTGTGCAAGAACATATCAGAAGAAGTGTTATGTTGGGGCAGTACTTCGAGAAGTTAATGACGCAAGATAAGCGATTCCGAATTGCAACTTCCGGGTTTGGGTTGGTTGTATTCGCGTTGAAAACTGGCGATGAGGACACAGAAGAACTAAGACGTCTTATTAATGAAGATAAGAAGATTATGTTGACGCCTGCACATTATCTCAACAAGTACGTAATTCGTTTTGCTGTGAATCACAGCACCAGATCGGAAGACGTAGAGTTCGCGTGGGATGTGATTAGGAGCACTACTAATCGCATGGAGAACACCTACAAAAAGTCCGAATCTGTTGATGTGCTCATCGAAAACGTTGGAGATTATCTCAGCACCATCGAGATTTAAATTTATAACATTCTGTGATTTATATATAGATGATATGTATTATATTTTGTAATTTTAAATTATTTATTGTAAGCTCCTGAAAACAAATAAAATGCTTGAACTAAATATTTAATCTTAATACATGCGTAAAGATGGCGTTAGTGGAAAAGAAGTTAATAGATTTATGTAATGTTCAATTTAAGTATTTTGCAGGTTGCAGTGCTTTTGAAACCTTGATTGCGAAATGTTCGCGCTTTAAAATAATGATGATGAGGCCAGGTGTGAGAAACCAGCGTGTTGTGCGTGTTGCCAACCACAGAAAGCACGTTAAACCAATGCACCGCTTCAACAGATTCGAGCGATTTAAACAAAACGAAGACAAGATACCACACTGGCACCGGTGCCGTGCGGCGTTACGTAAATGTGTATCACGTTCCCGAGTGTTGTCTCTTCGTGTGTGAAGCGCGAAGATGAAGCCGATGAAGCCAGTTTGAAACGCCAGCTGCCGCAACATGTGCGACCGAATCTGTGCGCGCTGCGCCGGCCCAAACGATGGACACCTGTCGGTACAGCAATCGAAGGAGAGAAAAAAAGAGGAAGGTAAAAAGGTAAAGGGTATCTCTGCAGCCGCAAAACCCGCAAGCAATGCGGTTGTCTTCCAATCAGATGGGCATTTTAAATGATTCAGTGGATCTTGACCGACATAAGGAAATCAACAAGTTGCCACAACGACCAATCAGAGAAAAAGTAGACAAAACAAATACTCGAAATAAATAAAACAACCGGAAGTCAATCAATTAGAAGTAATTTCTGCGACGCCTGAGGTAAAAATAAAAATCCATTCAAAAGCTGTTAAATCATAATAATTTTTCTGATTTATTTGATTTATGTCCGTACACGTGGCGAATTTGTTTAGCACAGCAAATGAAATGCAAATTACACTCGTGGAGCCATAAAGAATAAAATCAAATTATGTAGTTTCCTTTGAACTGGCCATAGAACACGCGAATTGTAAATGGAGTGCAAAGATATTTATGATAACATGAGTCAACGAGTTAGATTAGAATGGAATAACATAATGGTCGCTTTTTAATTGAAAATTATAACGTATTTGGTCTGGCATGGAACACACCCTCGCATTAATCTAAAGTATACAGAGTGTTTCATTATTTATCTTTAAAATAACAAATCTAACCTCAATACTGATGAAAATTCTGAGGACACTTTGTATATTTCGCTTAAGCGTGACAGTATTGTGGCGGTCCGTTGAGTGGCATTGTTGTGCGGCGGCGTTGGTAATAATGATATAAGACATAATAATTGATGGTTTGCGCGTAATGCACGCGCGCATTAATGTGCGCAAAGCTACAAAGCAACGAGTTGCACACGCGGCGTCCAGACGGACATTATAAAGCTTTCACGAGTTTCACAGCTCCGCCGACAACGAGTGGTGGACACTTTTTATGTTTTAATAATGAAATAATGACGTTGGTTTTATTTTTCAAGTAGAAAAAGTAGAAAATATTAAAATTGATTTAAAATTATGAAAAATTGAAGCGTTAAAAATGATAAATAATGTTAGAGTTGCTTGTTTTTTCGAAAGGATGCAGATGTTTTTGATGGCCAACGATTTTTTAAAAGGTGCGCTTCATTTTTTGGTCAGCTAACAGGTGAGATATTTTTTTTCTGCCCGTTTCGTTTGCATGTTGCATGTTTTGATTTTTATTTTATTTTTGTGTCTCGGATTTTACTCTTTTACATCGTTTCAGTTTTCGATGGTTCCAATTAAGTGCGTCGCGTGTTTCGGATCGGGTTGTCAATCATAACAAAAACAACCGGCGTTGGGTACATGCATATCACATTATCAAAATTATCAGCAAGACAAAAAATGATGAAAACAAACGAAAATAAAAGATTTTATATTTTACTAACCTTTTAGCGGATGGTTTATTTCTTCACGTCTCGATGTCTAAATTTAGTTGTGCGATGTTTGCTGGCTGGTTGACTGGCGCCAGCCGCGAAGAAGACACCGAGAAAGCCAATTATCCTGCCGCGCAGATTTACTGTTGCACTATTTCACTGTTTTACTGTCTCACGCGAGCATCTTTTTCTTACCTGCGTGTTTATATTCGCGAGTTTATCAAGTCTGGAACGCGTCTAGTCTCAGTGGACTAGTGAAACCGAGCGCGACGAAAACAATTCACACCGAGAGCAAAACACAAGCAATAAATCGAAACACTTCTTGTGTTTAAATGAGTTATTTAGAGATGTTTATAATGTTCAATTGTCACTTAAATGTCTCACCTTTCTTATTGTAATTTTATGCGATTTGTGGTTTTCTTCAAAACCGCAAAATGCGTAAACGTAAAGACACGCTTGAAGTAGATGCACTACACACACGTACTACTAGCGTGAGCGTCGCCGGTCGACTGTGCGCATTCGCAGCACTCTTAACTCATATCCCGCAAAGTTACTTGAGATAAGCGCTGTGCTTTGATTGGTTGTACTCTTCGACCGACCGACGTGCGTATCTCGAGAACGGCGCGCGATGCAAGCTGGAATAAAAACAAAACCACAATATTACAACCACTAAAAATAAGAACTCGTAAAACAAATGAGTGAAAGAAGAAATTTCTTCATTTATGTTTCACGCATATTATAATTAATTACAAGCATGCTCAACTTGTATTAAGTCTTGTAAACGTTGTTTTTAGAACTGTTTACAGTTTGCTTTCTTAGTAATTCCAACAGAAAATATTAAATTTACGTTTTAACGAATGTGTAATTTGTATTTCGTTGTTTTCAACTCAACATCCGGTCATTCAGAACACAGACTTGATTTTCCATAAGAAACCAATATATTGTATCCACTGTTTAAGTCTCCACACGCTTGAATACAATTATGGAATGACCGCATGACTTAAGTCAGTTTGGGTTGACTTAAGCCATGTGTAATCACGTGCTTCGCATAAGAACTTATAAAAAAACATTAAATTTCAACACAACTGTTACTAACCCAAACAAAGTGAAGAAAAACTTTTTTTTATTATAAACTAATTGATCACCGCAGTTGTAAACGTTTAGTAGGTTAAGATAAACAGACTTAAGTTAGGTCTCACACATTGAACTGTCTTTGAAAATAAACAAAAACGGTTGTTATCTTTAAATGTTGTGATTACGAAGAACAATGTGTGACTTACTAATGACTTACATGTTTAGAACTTATGATTCAAATATTATCGTTTATCGGAAACATTATAGGTTTGTTAATGCACACGGGGAATCAAGTAACTGTGATAAACAAACTTGAACGCGTTCAATAATACTTCAAATGTCATTCGATTAAGATTCCAAACATTTCGAACCAAATTTTAGGTAGAATCATGGATGAAAACTTCATTTCATTAGCACCAAACAGCGAAAATACCAAACGGAAGTTCTGGTCATTGCGCTTGCGTAAAACTGTGATTGACGACAAAGATGAGGAAACTAAATTTATAGAGGAAAATAACACAAGTAAATGGAAGAATCGAATGAGAGTAGGAAAGACTACAATGAAGAATAGAAAACAAAGTCGATTGTCAATTTGGAAAAGTTGGTTTCTTGCGTTACTCAAGTCCAAATCAAACATAAGTAATACTTTAATATTTTATTGCGTTTGTACTTATTAGTATTTGATTAAAATTAGAGAGAAATAGTTTTGAAGAATTGAAAGCTTCAGAATTGGTTGATTTAAACTGTATACCTTCATACACGAAATTTTGCGAATCTTTTGATCTTGATACTGACTCCATTTTGAAATCGTTTCAAAATGCTTCGCCAGTGTCAAACAAGGAAGAATCATCTAATGACTTGGGAATGGCTATTACTCTTCCTGGAGGTGTTAAAGGGAAGGATATCAAGGTTGATGTGGAGCTGAAAGTTTCGCCAAAAGACCACAATACAAATCAGTAATAAATTTTCTCCAAAAGATTCAAAGTAAGGTTATGTATCATTTTATAATTTCACAGATCTGAAAACAATTTTACAAAAGGATTGCACTTGATACAAAGCGACCAAAAGAAACTATTTATTCTGGAACAGTTAAAGTCCCTTCTGGAACAAATATCCTTCAAGTTTCCCAGATGCCGTTATATCTCCTCAATGGAGATGCTACTAGATCAGAACAAAGAGTGGAAACTATTATTAAACCCGTCAATAATGTTTTGGTATGTTTATTAACCCAATTTTCAAACAAAAATAACCAACATATATTTTTTGAAGCCGGATGATTACGATCAAGCTTTATTGATTGACGAAATCAACCTTCGACTTTGTATTGAATCTAATATAATCTTTGATCAAACAGAACTCAGTCATGAGTTTGTAACAAATGTTATACCTATGGTTGAACGTGATGATGAAGATAAAGCATCAATTGTTGCAACATCAGAAATATCCTTTGATTTTGACAACAATTCTCGAATCTCTTTAGATACTAAAGATATGATTGAGCAAATCACTGGAGAAATGGATCCATCATATGATGAAACGTCAAAGACTCTAGTTAAGGAGATCTTAAATCAAGTTGTAAGCAGAATCAGTTTTAAATCTTCAACAGATTTGATTGAGGATTTCCACAAAGAGTTAGAAGTTCAGAAAATTATATTACTGGAAACTGCTTCATCAATTTTACCAAAAACTGATAGTCTGTTATCGAAAATTAGTGAAACTGAACAGGAGGATGCGTCGTGTTCATCAACTTCATCAAAAAATATAGCTCCTGATATAGCACAGTCGAGTGACTTAAGTTTATCCAATTATACATCCCGATCGGAATTAAAATTACATATGAAAGTACCATCAAACACACCTGATGCTTTTAAAGCATCTTTAAAGTACGCGGAAGAAGAACAATTAAAATTGACACAGAAAATGTTAAAAGAAGATGTTAAAGCTGACATTGACAAAACTCTGCAGTTGTTAGAAACTGCCAAAAACAAACTATTAACTTATTTGAACCAGGGACAAACACCAATTGACAATGCAGCAAAAATTAATAATGATAAAATAACAATTGATCCGTTTAAAAGTTTAGAAAACAAAGAGCTTTTTCCTGTCCCCTAAATTACCAGAAACGCCGAAAAAGGAAGTAGATTTTAAGTATGAAGATGTATTTGCATATAATAAAAAGAAAACAAAAGATTTTTCAGACAATAAAAAACCAAAACCTGAAGAAACGGCAATTGTAGAAATAGGTCCAAGAAACAATCCAATTCACGAACTTAAACACATGTTCCTAGACGAATTCAAGAAGCAAGTTGACTTTGTACCAACTGTAACTGATGATGAAGTTTTTGATTTGGAAAATTTGGCGCATGCAAATGTTTTCGTTGATAACAAAAAAATCAAAACAATGATCGACCGGTATCTCACCCCAGAACAAATCAAAGACCTTAAAGAAGATGAAATGATTTCCCACAATACAGATATCTTCGAGAAACGTTATTCCTCTTCATCTGAATCTGCTAAACCGTCCAAAATTACCCAAGAGAGACTCAGAGATGATATTGATATAATCGTACGGGAGTTATTAGAACACAGCGCCGCATTCCAGGATTACGTCAAAGCCAATGAACAAGGAGATTCTACGAATGACACCATTGAAGATGTCAAGTTTGTGTTGGAGAAACTTCTGCAACACGTGGTTGACGAGGTTTCTACGTCCGAAAATGATGCGCCTAAGACACCTCTAGATTATCAAGTAAATCATCTAGTAAAACCAGTTTATTTTTGCCTCATTGATGATTATGTTGACGTTTTTCCAACAGTCGGACGCGCCGGCGACAGCGGGCCCCTCTCATGGTTAACACATCGCCTACGAAAGTGTGCGGTTACCGAGAAGAAGTCCACCATCTCGGTACGACGATGCTATTCAAACGGACAGAGGAACTATACCGGACCCTATGCAAAAATACAGACAATGATGGCCTTTTGGAAAAATTAATTAAAGGAACTAATTATTTAACCGAGTTATACAAAGAAATCTACTCGAGACCTTTGAATTGGATGCAGTTGGGGAAGTACCAGTTGAATCCTTTTGCGATGGATACTGCAAAAGAATCAACAATGCCACTACTTCGCAAATCAAAAAAGATTATTACCTTTGATGATAAACCAGACGCACAAACTAGTACAACCAGAGACAGGGAGACTGTAGAAGAAAAGTTAAAAATGGTTATAAACCCAGGAAAGGAAAGAGAGGTTATAAAAGCATCAAAAATGCAAAAGCATTTTGACAGTTCCCAATGTCAAGATCTTTCATTATCCATATGGCCATCATGGAAACGTGAATGGATCAAAATTTTTACAGCAGAACATGCTTCCAATGAAAGGGAGGGTTTGAAACAGTTGTCTGATTTGGTTAATATTAAACAAACTTATAACCACTTTTCGGGAATTGATTTAAACAATAATAAACCTGTGGAACACAAATTGGGCAGAATTAATCTAAAGAAAAATGTACGGATTAATCCTCTTACAGTAAAGAAAGAGTTTAATATGCATCATAACCTAATGGAAATATCTCCTGAAAAGTTACCGAATGATGAAAGTGATGATGAAATATCTGAGGAAATTATTGGTGCAACAAAAGTCCATTTTACTAATTCAGATGATGACGAACCGCAAAAGAAAGTGGAAAAGGTTGTTCCTGTGTATCCAATCGACGATGCTATTCCAGGTACCTCAAGAGATAGTCAACCTAACCTAGTTTTAATTCATAGTGAAAAACATTCACCCTGTGAGTCCGGAACACGCATAGTTGACTTTGCTGATCTTCCTTCTTCTGAAGAAAAAATCTATGAACCAGTAGCTGATGTTCCAAGGAGGTTTGCAACATCTTCAATGGAACACGCCTATATGAAGAACCTAGCAGTGCTTCAGAATAAAGTAGATTGTTCGTCTTTATCCAGCATATACTCATCTTCTTCCTCAGAGGGTAGTTACCAAGTGTTACCCAAAATATATCCACAAAATGGTTTAAATTATAACACACCTTCAATGGTGGCACATTTCTCTGATATTTCAAAAGCAAATCGTATACCTAACTCAACCAGCACTAGTATAGTATCATCAAGATCCGCTGATTCTCCACCGGAAACTGTAGATTATTACGCTGATGTAGATAACTATACACAGATTATACCAGAATTACGTCCTGAATATTTTTCAAAACCAGATCTAAACCCTCCCGATGAAGTGGCTCGAATTGAAGAGAACGTTTTAAAGAATGACCGGCTTAACCCGTTGATTAGAAGTCTATCTCTGCAGTATTCTCATCCTTCTAATGCATTAAGAATGGGAAGGATTAGTTCTTCGTTGGAATCGTTAACTTCGACTACTTCACATTCATTAGTGTCAACCACAGATGGAGATTTTCGAGAAAGATAATAAAAAATTAAATATTACTTTAATTTCTGATTTATTTTATTTTTAGTCGAATTCATGATGACCCTCATCACTATCGTCACTCTCACTATCAGATTGAGTCTCTAAACAAGCAAAACAAACTCTTCCCATGTCGTTCCAACACTCTAAACAATGCACAACGTAACAATTCGGTGTTTTACACTTTTCAAAATCTCCTGGTATCCCACTCTTCTTTCTGGGTTCTGGTTCTCCACACACGATACATTGTCTTCTTGCTAGTTTAAAGAAACGCAACCATCCACATTTTGTAGGAAAACGAATTCTCAATACAGCACAAACATTCAAGTTGTGTTCTAATCTTTGTTCTCTCGCCATCTTTTTGACTTTTTTCTTCATGTATCTGAAGAAACCTATGCGTCTTTTTAAAGTTTGGTTATACAGAAATAAAACACGACGTTTTTCTCTTTTTCTATAAAAGTATGCACAGATCGGACGTCGTAATCTTGCAAAATATCCTTGTAAGAAAATAAAAATCAAAATGGCACAATAGGTTCCATAAATCTTTAGTATGTAGTATTTGCTCAGCAGGTTAGGTTTTGGAAGACACGCAACGTTGCTTCTCATTGATTTGATTCTCTTTTTGATGTTGAAACCTTTAACTACAGATCTAAGAAGATTAGCAATCATACCAGTGCCTTTAATCTGCAACATCATATCATGATGACCAGTTTGGTAAAACTCAACTCTGGCATGTCTAGCCACAAGATCCAATGCTTCATAGAAAAGCCTATCTAGGAGAATAACAGTAGTGGCAGTAACCATTTCAAGTAACATTTTAACTAATTGTGGTATAATCATCTGTTTCTCTTCTTTTAAAAGTTTTTTGGTCCATGGTTCAACCAATACTTGTTTCTCAACTTTTTTCAGTGGTAGTAAAGTGTGTTTATCTAAAGCATGTCTTCTTGCATCAATTTTTTTGAAATATTTTGTAATATACTTATTATCATACTCAATATTCTTCAAATATTTATCATGATATTTTTGACTACTTAATATAATTCTTAAGAAAACAAATGCCAGTAATCGCTTGCAAATCAGCATTATTTCTTTCAGAATTACTTTTTTGCTGTTTACATCATGAATGACACTTTTGGCTGTTGCAGTGGCATCTCTTACATCAACAAGTGTTTTAATCTTGGGTACCTTATACTGTACTTTTACTTGTTTGAATTTATCACTTAGAGTACCTCTAGATGCTTTTAAATATTCATACCCTTTACCAAAGCCTGTTTCTACATGTTTACTCGGATCACATTTACCCATTCCTCCGATAGACTCAACAATATTGCAAATGAATGTCAATTTCATGGGCCAACACAATATCCAAGCTGCTACCCAAGATACAGTTTCATAACAAATATCATAACCTTTACCAAAAACCTTTCTACACTTGGCTGCAGCTTTCGAGAATTGATCCTGACACCTTGCTTCTATTTTCTTCAAATAATTCTTTTCGAATTTATTCGCTTCGACTAATTCACCTTTTGATTTATATTTATCGTCTAGTTCCTTAGATGATTTTGAATTTCCTTGTAAAGCATCCATGTAATCATTTTCCTCTTTTAATTTTTTCATTTCTTGCTCATCTTCAATTTCTCCAGTTAAAGGGGCTGTTACATCACGAATTGACCGCAAGGTGTCTTTAATTTCGTTAGCATCACCTTTCATTTGCATCAGAGCTTCAGCGAATGGTTTAAACATGAGTTCAAATCTTGCTTTTGTTAGATTAAAAGTCAATGATGTGGTGCATCCGAAAACCCTCACTACTTCTTTGCCATTTACTGTAAGATTCTCAATTGGACCTGAGAGTAGATAAGCAAAGACGAGACTCTTGAGAACACCTCTTCCGGATTGTCCCACAAAGGTGGGCAAGGCAAGAATCGATATACAACGGATTTGAGATGATATTGCTATACCCACGGCAAGCATTAACGTTATTGTACCACCAATGAATAAAGTCGTAAAAGGGGTGAAACTCAAATCAATCAATATCAATTCGTAGAAGAATAAACCCAGGAAGATACCATACAACACACACCAGAATCGTTTGGTTTTCTTGTGTTCATGGGCGCGGCTTTTAGCTAGTTTAAGAAAATGGCCAAACACAGAGGTGAAAATATTTCGTTTTGGTTTTGATTTTGGCGACATTTTTGTATATGTTACAAAAATTGACCATTTTTAGACGTTTATTAGACGTTTATGGTTTCATCAATCTGATTTATATAAATTACACAGAAATGACTGTTTGTATAATTATAAAACAAAGCCTCTTTATTATAAAAGAATTAAATACTGCATCTTAAACTAATCTTATTCAATAACTGCTGATAAATTAAGAAAACCTAGGATGGGTTTGTAATAGTTCCCCAGAACAAAGTCGCTGCTGTAGCTTCGTGGCGAATAAAGAATAGAAAAGGTTTATTCGCTAGAAAATTCTTCGCTCCACCGCTATAATCAACAATTCCAGCGGAAACCGCCGCCGCTTCAGTTCCCACCTCATTAAGCGCAAAAGTCATATGCTGCATAACATCAGAAACTCTCAAATCACCTTTAACGCTAGCAGCCGACAAGATAATCTCATCGATGTTCGAACCAGACGTGAAATTGTTAAAGTTATGCTTGAACAATTCAAATTGAGCCTTCTTATCTTCCAATACATCAATAAAGTTCTTAGTTGCAGTCGACTTGGTCGGTTCGGTTGTAAACTGACGACTTTCCATATATTTCTTATAGGTGGCATACATCTGCAGAGGTTTCAACAGACTCATGCTGCTTGTCAACGTAAACTTCGGAATTTTACGTTGACTTCATGATTTTTCAAGTCACCTAACATCTGAAGATAGTCAGAGATTTTTGCTTCGCTTGCAAATGCTCTGATGTCATGCTCATGAGGATGTCCAACATTTGGTAAAACAATGTACATCCCCAGTTCATTATTTTCATAGGGCATTACCAACATTTTACAGTTAAGACGTTTACTTTCAGCATACGGCACCTGTTCTAAGAAGTTTACCATATAAGTTACTTGGCGTTGATCACTTTTTGATACAAAGAATGGCCCGAGATGATTCAACTCATTACTGAATGGCTGAGCCCATTTTCCATAGAAATATATAGCATTCGCAAAGATAGAAGCTGTTTCTGGTCCAGGGGGTGTAGCTACAATACTTTTAATCAATCCATTTGTATGATCCAATGCCCATTTGTTGATAGTCTTCATAGCAACCTCAGAACGTTTGAAATTTAATGGAAACAGTTCTGTTTGATACAAAGTCATCGATTCATGGCTGAATTTATCTTGGAGTCTGATATTCCTGTTGTAGAACAGTGCATTATTAGAATCCAGTTTGTAATGACGATTGCCATCAATTTCGAGACGTTTTCGAAGATTTCCGAGTTGTTGGTGAAATTGTATGTAGACGTTTTCATCACGAACTGATTTTTGATCGGAAAGTGATATAAGATCATAGAGATGATCACGAAACTTGCCTTCAGCACCCACTAGTAGTTGACCCAAGAGTAAAGTAAGACTTAGTGGTGAAACTAAAAAGTTTTGTGGTTGTGTTGAGTTTGTGTTGAGCAGGGTGTCCAGTTTAACGCCCATGCTGAAGATGGCTTTGAGGGCATCACTAACATCTGCTTGATTAGATGGGAATAATTCCAGGCCATTTGAGGTGTAAATAATCCCAGCAAGAACAAAAACACCAGCAAAAGCTTTCATTGTTGTGAAAATCATGATTAAGTCTAGTTTGCACTTTGGAACTTGTAGTAATTGATGTCTGTTGATGTTTATAAATGTGTTGCTGATATTTACTCTGGGAATTTACCTAAAATAAAACATTGATAAAAATGTAATTTACAATAATTTCGAAGAATTTATTCATGGTTTACTTACGTGATAACGTTCATATCGATAAGTTGGTGTGAACTTGACCTCAAATGATGCATAAAATTGTGAAAACTTTCAACTAAATTCACGCATAAATATGCGAAATTTAACTCTAATGTATAAACTTTCACCAAACTTCACCGTGTTTATATTTAAACAATGATTTAGATTCTGTATGAAACAGTGTCTGATTGTGAGGAATATTTGTTTTGACTTTTCGCTTATATTGAGACAGATTGAGGCACGGACTCGACCAAACCGGTCAGCGGTCGCGACAATAATGCGATCTCGTCTGCGTGTTCGTTTTATACTTACTAACATATTTACATTTACATGGTCACCGCTTATACTTGAACGTGAATACATTTGAGCCGTGCTTGGATGCGCAAAAACAGAAAAAGTCCGATTCGCGAGCTCGATTACAAATTGGAGGCCAGGAAGTACAGTTTACGCGCATGATTATGGGATTCAAGTTTACTGACGCAGTCAGTATTACGAAGTATGTATATCAAATGTGGTTTTTAGGATATTTTGTAAATGCCCCGATTTATTTATTATATTAATCGAGTTCCAAAACATGATTTCAATTTCTTAATAATTGCATTATGCGCTGATGTGTGTTTTGATTTTAATTTATCTGCAAAAATGATTCAATGAATGATCAATGTAATTTCTAGATTTAGATAATTATTAAACTATATTTAATTATGTTTTAATTATTTTGTTCTTTTTAAACGAAAACGTTTGATATGCGTGATGTTTAGCGGTCAGTTATCAATGGGAAAACCCGTACATTGACGGTCGAAGCAAAAAAACAACAAATGTAAAGGCGACACCAATCAAATCGGTTAATATCAAAGTCGAATAAAACCGCAAATACACTCAATTCATCGTGAATCCCTCCCAAGTTGTTTATCTATTGTTACAGTCAATGTTTTGTTCGTATAACAAAATATTAACTTCTAGAAGTTTAACATATGCAACCAATACTACACTAAAGCAACATAAGACGCAAGTCTTACCAGATCTTTCCGGTCCGGTTTGCAATCGCATTGATAACACAAATAACTTTATCAACCTTGACAAACAACTACCGAGTACTAAAATTAATTTTGCTCGTAGCAGTCATTAAGCCTAATCAATAACTTAAATGACAAATCAAACACATTATATGCGTTAATTTGGATGAAATAATTTTTTGTAGTTTTGTTAATGGCTGACGTCTTTCAGTCGCCATAAATGTGATGCATGCTAATGACCATCAACAATGTTCGCACACTCACATCTTTACATGTGGACTCAATTGATAACGCCCGGAATGAGAAACAAAGTATTTCGAATGCGTAAATATGGAATACATTTATACATTTATAATGATCGTCGATTTGCGGTTATCGGTTCATACAGTCTTAAGGACGCAATCTGAATTCATTTCATCAACACTTTCAACAGTGCCACACATCAATTACATTGCAATAACTTATAAAACTATATTATTGGAGCAAAAAATTATGTTTAGAGGCAGATTAACTTAAAATAAAGTGATATTGGGTAAAAACGTGGGTAAAATGTGCGCAGCCATGACAGAAACTCCATTTCTACTGAAATCCGTTAACGAATCATGGGAATGGGCGAAAAATCCGCGTACTCAACAAATGGTTATCTCGAATTGGCAATGGAATGTGCATAATATTCAATTTCGACCAGATAACGACCCACAAGGTAAAACAATACAACTTTAATGACATGTTGAGTTTAACTTTTATGTTTTTAGGGTACGCGGATAGTGCAAAGCGTTTTGAACATCCGTCACCTATTGTCCCGGTTTTAGCCGTTGTGATGTTAACAATCACAGTATTTCTGTTAATACTTTTCCGGCAAAACCCCGGATTGGTGGCGGGAACTGTAGCTGGATGTTTGATCATCATCAGTATTTATTTAACACTGAATACTATCAAGGAGAATACGCTGACATATGAATAATTGATATTTTAGTTATGTAGTCATTTGATATTTTGTGTTCATTCAACTGTTGTAAGTTGCAACAAAATTATTTGAAATAAATGAAATTCGTGATACTGTTACTTATTATCATCGAATAGAATATGTAATAGAAGTTCTTACCTTTGTTATTCTTTGGATGAAGATTCTTCATTGCGGAATTGGCACAGACTTGAATAAACTTCAAACTGCAAGTGATCGGTTAGGCGCGAAATTTGTGAGGCGTCTTTTTATGACAACTATTTTAGAGTAATATTGGTTGCCTAATTTTAAAACTACTACCAATTTTACTACACTAAACTACGAACGACAAAAATGATAAATTGAAAATGTAATTGTTTACTGTTAGACACAATGTTATTAACTATTTAATAAATAAACACTTATTATTAATGATTTTAACCCGACACCGAAAGGTAAACGTGGTTTGACAAAATAAATTAAAAATTAATGATTTTAAGCTTTAACGTAGGCAACCTAACATACAAGAAAAAGTGATGAACATTTCATGCAACATTTTCCCAACTGAATACAACTTATCAAAAAGAATTCCTATGACATGCAACACAAAAATAAACTGATTTAACAGCGCCAACTTTATTGTTTCAAACACTAACTATAAAAATATAATAGGACAAATGAAATTAAAATAAAAAATAACAAATACTCATACTATACTTCTAGTCACCTACATATTTTGATATTTTAGTGGTAACAGTATAATATTGAACAGTTTTAATTTATTTAAGTTGATTTGAACACCACAGTATATGTATATTGTTTCTCTCTGATGTTAGTGAGATTAAAAACCCAAGAAATGCCAACAAACTAATAAATAACACATAGTCAGACAGATTGACATCACCCAATTTGATGTTTAATGGCATTTTCCCCTTTATATACAATGTTCACTAAATGTGTGATTAATTACTTTCACATATGCATGCTGCTGATTCTAGGAGTTGTTTAATCGCATTTTTTCTGCAGCTTGGATGCACCAAGCATTGTGGCGTTCAGATCACGCTCGCAGTTTGAGTAGGCCATGCCGACGCCGAAACCACCGGAGAGTAAAATCGGCCAGCGCTTTCGCTTGAAGAACAGAAAGGAAAACACTGTTCCTATCACGAGCCCACCTCCTACAAATTCACAACAATATTATAGTATTTCGAAGTTTTGCATTTAAGGTTAATCATATGATTATGTCATATCTATCGGCTTTCGATCACGCGAACAGCTTAAGAAATGCACAGATTTTGATTGAAAGAGTTGTTATAGGGTGAAAGTGTTTCATACCGAACTTGAGGATCCCGTCCGTAAGGCATCTGTCCCATTTCCGACCGATTTCGTCCTCGACGTAGACCGGGGCTGCCATTTTTCGATCGCGCACAAAACGAGAGCGTAGAGCACGACTACGAGCGCAAGCACAGCCTGTAAAATCCAACCGTTGAGGTGGGGACAAACGACGGAGGATGCGCTCGTGTACGTAACTTATTTGCACTAAATAGTAGTACCTCAGTCGAATTCTTGTGTAAATGCTTCTTTTTCGGTGGAAATTTTACGTTTTTTGTACATATAGTAAATAAATTCACATAGATTTGCGTTTTTCAATAGAAATTCAGGTGGATTTTCATTGTGTTGCGATGACAGGTCAGTTGAAACTTGACTGCGCGACATTTACGAATGTAAACAGCCAACATTGAATTAAAAACTTGACAAACCTCATATTGTGGTCAAGTGTAAACTTTTTGTTGAAACGGAAACAAGATATTTACGAATATAGAGTTCTCACTTTATTGCACCCGTTCGTTCTCGCAAGCTGAATGTAATGAAATGAAAGAAAACAAACTAAAACTCATCGCAAACAATCGAAAAGTCGAACGACATGTTACTACATAAATTATTACAATTATTACAAAGAGATGAACTCACACACACACACTCTCCCTTCCAAGTTACTCATAAATATCATTGCTTCGCAGTTCTCGGTTTGCAATCGCAGCAATTGTCATAGTAAATTTGTTTAATATTTTAAGTTTGTCTTATCAAGTACAAAAAAGACTATTTTATTTCATCAAAGTGAGTGAAAATAGTCAGCCTTTCATTCGTTTAGTATAAAAAATATTGATTACCTCAATAGTACTAATTTACTCAACAAACGGTCCTTCTTTCCAATGATTTTGTTTCTGTAGTGAAATTTCAAATGTTTTTTTAGTAATCAATATTTTTGTCTGCCTCTCCTCGCATCGCAAGGGCACAGTATTTTTTATATTTTATATATAAATAATTAACAAAAATCATTTGCGTAACTTAGAAGAGCAGCGCACCCATGCTGCCCATCTCGCTCTGCTCCTTGACGAAGATCTCGAAGTACTGGTAGATGATCGTCACGGCGAGCAGGATACCCGTGCCGGAACCGATCGCGCCCATAAAGTCAGCCATCACTGACAACGCGCCGATACACAGACCACCGAAAGCAGCTGCCGTCGGGATGTAACGGTTCAACTCGTGGATCATTGAGTTATCACGATGACCACGCATCACCATCTGCTGTTCCTTCAGCTGCTTGGCAACATCCTTAGCGGAGGATCCAGATACTTCAATCCACGTCTTTGAGAAGAACGCGCAGGAACCCAGCATGAAGACGATGTACAAGAACGCATGCACGGGGTCTTCCAGGATGTGTCCGACGCTTTCAGGCGGACTGAGGTAGTAGCACAACCCTCCAATTGGATATGAACGTGCTGGGCCACCACCGCCAACATCAGCCCACACGCCAAGCAAGTTAATTAAAAAGTTGCCATGAAATTTAACCGCCAACATTTGTGAAATGACGTAAAGGTTAGAAACAAGCGCGGATTGCAGAATAATAGGGATGTTTGATGTGTAGAAGAGTTTGATTGGGTAGCTGGAGTACTGACCGCGATAACGCGCGCTCTTGATGGGTAGGTCGACACGGAAGCCCTGGAAATATATGACTATGGCAAAGACAAGGATGGTAGCGAGCAGGTTCATCAGATTGGGAAGGTTCTGGCGGTAGAAGGCCTCACGCAGAGCGCGGACTTTGTCTTGACGTGTGGCGATCAAGTGGAAGAGAGCGATGACGGCGCCTTCGAATTCAGTACCGCGGCCGGTGTTAACCGTGGCGGGAGAGAATGCCTTCCAGATGATGGTTTCGCAGATGTTGGTCGCAATGAAGAGCGAGATACCAGAGCCGAGACCATAGCCCTTTTGCAAGAGTTCGTCGAGCAGAAGTACAATTAAACCGGCGACGAAAAGCTGGATAATGATGAGAAGACACACGCCGGCACCGATTTCGGCTGGGTCGCCGTACATGCCGGTCATTACGTAGACGATTGCTTGGCCGACGGTGATTACCATGCCAAACACTAAATTTATAAAGATAAAATCGCATTAGAAAAGTCGTTAAGCATTAGACTAATCGTTTAATAGCTTAAATGGTTAATATTTTGTAATGCTTACATTTTTGTGCACCATTGAACAGAGCCCTGTCCTTTGGAGTGTCACCAACTTCGATAATCTTGGCGCCAGCCAAGAGCTGCATGATCAGACCGGATGTGACGATGGGCGAGATACCCAACTCCATGAGGGTGCCTCTGTTTGACGCAAGAATTACACGAATCCAGTAGAACGGATCGGCTGAGTCTGAGCTCATGATACCGAACAACGGAATCTAAACACAACATTGAAATTTACCAAACATTTACAAATTGAATGTCGCTCATACTTTGAACACATCTTGAGAATGACAAAACATAAGATCAAAATATAATTATTCAAGTTTTACTGTTCAAAAACGTGTTGCCTTTGAATTATGACACACATTACCACACATTCAATGTTTATGATGTGCAGTTATAACTTGATTACATTAACAAACCAAAATATTAATTACTAAACACCCAAACTGAGAAATAACAACTGAAGTCACTCAAGATATGCGCAAATTTAGCATTTATACATTAGTATAGTCAAAGTGAACTTACTTGACAACAAACAAGGAAAATAAATAGTGTGATCGCCGTCCATAATACTTTCTCTCTGAATTGGATCTGAAATTGAAATAAAACATTAAACATTGTACAATAAAATGCCTGAGGATTGAGTAATAACTAATAGTTGATGAGGGTTATTATCCAACTTGAAACAGGCTAGCAGCCAAGCCATCTGTTATCAAATTGTGAATGAAAAGTTTCAATGCCTCCACATTTAATTGTATTTATCAATGAAAAACTGAGCAACGACCATATTGCTGATGAGAAACCTAAGTTCTAACTAAAACTTACTCCAACTCATGGAAATTTTCTTACCTTTCGTTCGGGTTTGGCGATCTCTGGCAGTATACTGCAGAACGGCTTGATAACTTCCAAGAATTTAACTGCAAATGATAATTACGATAAGAACATTTGTCTTTGAAACATCAACATTTTTATTAGACACATGCACATTTGTCCCCAGATTGTATACGTAAGCAAACGTAAGGTACGTAAGTTTTCTCACATACTACAATTGTAGTAATTCTGCCCTTCAGTGTATTACAATCTGTGCATATTGGACTAAATATAAATATGAAAATAATTTAGATGAGAATACTTACTACCCATCTTGATGGGATTTGTTCGGCCGCTGTGGTTTCGACGTCGATGTGTCCACACGGGGCACTATAAGTTCCACGTTTCACGGCACGCAGGCACGCTCACTGAACGTCGAAGGAGGTTTTTGGGGGGAACGCGCACGCCGAGATGATGCGCTCAACACCGTGTCACCGAATGAAGTGCCAGCGAGTGTGGCAGAGCAACGGTACTTTCGCGTTGTTGGCCGTATGAGACTGACACGATGCGTACACGTAGGCAATGTGCCGGCGTCACGTGACCGGTGATGTTGGCTCTCTACTGACAACACTACACGACGAACCCAACACAACGAACACCTACCGTCAAGTAGGCACAACTTTCAGACGATCAGCATTATTTATTATCAAATGCTGCGATGCAGATTCTATAAGATAAAGCAGACAGAATACGTGTCTAAGACCAGAATAATACTAAAATAAAGATTACATATTTTTTTTACGTTTATTAGGAAAAAATCATATTTTTTCTTGATGCAATTTTAAATTTTATTATGCATTACTAAAAGTTTATTAAATGAGAGTATTTTGACACAAGGTGGTTTATGTCCAGTATATTTATCTAAATAAACAGTTTAAGCGATAGATTTGTTTATCATTGAATCTGCATGTTTCTTATCAACTAGTTTTATTTAAAGCCGATGACTGCATTGTACCGCCATCTGTGTACAAAATACTGAACTGCAATTGATATTGCTAAGGCAAACCAAGATAGCGCTACCATACACTTTCTAACTAAAAATCGGACGATGAAATATTATCGTTGCAACAACATTCAACCAAGATATTGGATCTTCAATCACGTTTATAATCTTATCAGTTGAACCATGCTGCTAAAGAAATACAATAATAAAAAAATATTCACAATAATTCTGTTTTCATTTATATTCAACTGTTATTTTTTAATTACATTTATTTCTTCTCAACTTATGTAAATTATTTATTGCAAAACGCATGAAATTGATCGCAAATGCCCATAAAAATAGTCAAATCAATGTTACGACGTGCGTAAATTTCACGACGTCGATATCGTTACGTTTAATATAATGTGAGATATCGACAAATGATCAACTCTGACCCTTCAGTAACATTTTAATTTTATGCGTTGCGTTATACCCAGTCCCAAGATAAATGTAATTTCAGCTTAATTATCATTCTGATTAGTTATAACATAAAATAAACGCATTGAAGAGAATTCGTTCACTTGGGCCGAGCTCGCGCTCGCTATAACACTAAACATTTTTAGTATTAATTAATTTAATTGAATTTTATTTTTGAATTACAATTAAAAACATTAGTGAATATAAAAATGTATAAGTTAGCAGTGCGAGCGAGGTACGCAGTACCAAAACTGCAAAATTTGCGGTGTTTTAGTGCGGCGCGTCCGGACGAACCATTATTCCCTAAAAAGGAGGATTTTCCCAATAGGCATATTGGCCCAAGGGACAGAGACATCGTTACCATGTTGGATTTACTTGGATATAAAGTAGGTGGTGAATAAATTAAATAAAACATAAAAAAGTTAATTTTATAAAATTTAATTAAACTTGTTAGCATTCTGAAACTTTTTTAAATGAAAAATGATGTACATTTGTACGGAAAGTTGTTTGCAGAGTTGTTAATTCATTTTCTACGAGCAGCAAATAATCTCACTGACAACAACAGAAAAATTCAATATAAAAACAAGAAAACCGGAGTAAAATTCACAAAAACACCCGAGAATTGTCTAAAAATAAATGCTAATTAATCATACCGTTGCAAGTCGTTGAGACACTTTTAATTAATGTACTGTATTCAATTATTCTCAAGCTGTACTTATGTCTTACGTTTTATTTACGTTTTGTTTTGTTCTTTTTTTGCAGAGTTTAGACGAGTTGACTGAAAAAGCTGTACCGAAGCGTATTGCGTTGAACAAGCCCTTAGAAATTGAAGAATCCACGAGTAAGTACCTTATTTCCACTCATATTGATTACACCATAATTTCATGATTAAGTAATAACGAGTAAACACTTTTATTACTTATTTGCTGGCGCAATTCGCGAGATTGCTTCGAAATAAAAATAAAAGTACATCATTATAACGAAGTAGTAAATATTATCGTCAATGTCATGACCTTTGATGACGGGTCTTACCAGGGGGTCCATCTTATCAACTCATGTAGAACATAGAACATAATATATGACTATAATATTGATTCCATTTTTAAAGGCGAATATGAATTAATCAAACAAATTCAGAAGATTGCTGAACGCAATGAAATCTGGCGTTCTTACATTGGAATGGGTTACCATAACTGTTGTGTACCACATACAATTATGCGTAATATTTTCGAGAACCCTGGTTGGACCACACAATATACTCCATATCAACCGGAAATAGCTCAAGGTCGTCTTGAGAGTCTCCTGAACTATCAAACAATGGTGGCGGAACTTACTGGTTTAGAAGTAGCAAATGCTTCTCTGTTGGATGAAGGAACCGCAGCCGCAGAAGCTCTGTCACTTTGCTTCCGACAGAATAAACGCCGCAAAATGTTACTGTCACATAAACTGCATCCGCAGACTATTTCGGTGGTTGAAACAAGATTAAATTCATTAGGACTTACCTTCGAAATAGTCGATGTGATGGAAGCTGACTTTTCTAACCATGATGTTACTGGAGTGTTATTCCAATACCCTGATACAGAAGGCAATGTTTTGGACTTCAGTCAAGTAGCTGAAAATGCCCATGCTAATGGTACCCTTGTCTGTTGTGCTACGGATTTATTAAGTTTATGTTTACTAAGACCACCTTCTGAATTTGGAGCGGATATTGCAATTGGAACTTCTCAGAGATTTGGTGTACCTTTGGGATATGGTGGACCACACGCTGGATTTTTTGCTTGTCATCAATCTTTGGTTAGATTAATGCCTGGAAGGATGATTGGTGTGACAAGGGACGCTGCTGGTAGGGATGCATATAGGTTAGCTCTGCAAACTAGAGAACAACATATTCGCAGAGATAAAGCTACCAGTAATATTTGCACAGCCCAAGCTCTGTTGGCAAATATGTCTGCTATGTTTGCTGTTTACCACGGACCTCAAGGATTAAAGGATATCGCAAATAAAGTTCACAATCTGACGCTCGTATTGAAACATGGTCTGGAAATGGACGGAAATAAACTTACCAATGAATACTTCTTTGATACTTTGAAAATAGTTCCATCTATTGGTGTAGATGAGGTTAGGACCAGAGCAAATGAAAAGAAAATTAATTTGAGATATTTTGATGATAACGAAACTGTTGGAGTAGCTTTGGATGAAACAACAACTGTTGAGGATATAGATGATCTTTTCTATGTGTTTGGGTCATCTCAAAAGAGTGATGTAATTTCTACACAGCCTGATAAAGTTCGAACCGGTTCAATTTTAAGATCTGAGTTTAAACGTACCAGTTCATTCTTGACACATCCAGTTTTCAACTCACATCATTCTGAGTCTAGACTAGTGAGGTATATGAAAGTTTTGGAGAACAAAGACATCTCCCTGGTTCATTCTATGATTCCTCTGGGGTCTTGTACAATGAAGCTCAATTCAACTACTGAGATGATGCCGTGTAGTTTTAAGCATTTCACAGAGATACATCCATTCGTACCTGTTGATCAAGCAAGAGGATATCAGCAATTGTTTGATGAATTAGAGAAAGATTTATGTGCAATTACAGGATACGATAAGATCAGTTTTCAACCAAATAGTGGAGCCCAAGGTGAATATGCAGGTTTACGAGCAATTCAGTGTTATCATGAAGCAAAAGGTGATAAACATAGGGATGTTTGTTTGATTCCTTTGAGTGCTCATGGTACTAATCCCGCAAGTGCACAAATGGCTGGTATGAGGGTAGAACCCGTGAGGGTAAGATCTGATGGTTCTATTGATATGGATGATCTTAAAACCAAAGCGGAAAAGTTTAAGAATCGTTTGTCTTGCTTGATGATTACATATCCATCAACAAATGGTGTTTTTGAAGAGACTGTTGCTGATGTGTGTGATATCATCCATAAAAATGGTGGACAAGTATATTTAGATGGTGCTAACATGAACGCGCAGGTTGGTCTCTGTAGACCAGGTGATTATGGATCAGATGTTTCTCATTTAAATCTTCACAAAACATTCTGTATTCCACATGGTGGAGGAGGTCCTGGTATGGGTCCAATTGGAGTTAAATCTCATCTAGCACCATTTTTACCTGGACATCCAGTTGTTAACCCTCTTGGGGCTAATTCCACCTCCTATGGTGTTGTATCCGCTGCTCCGTATGGATCATCCGCTATCTTACCTATTTCCTGGGCTTATATCAAAATGATGGGTGGTAAAGGTCTTCGTAAAGCCACTCAAGTAGCCATATTGAATGCCAACTACATGTCAAAGCGTTTAGAAAAACACTACCCTACTTTATTCAAATCACCACAATCTCAGTTGGTTGCTCATGAGTTCATCATCGATATCAGACAGTTTAAGAAAACAGCAAATATTGAAGCAGTTGATATCGCAAAGAGGCTGATGGATTATGGATTCCATGCTCCAACCATGTCCTTCCCTGTAGCTGGTACGCTTATGATAGAACCAACAGAATCAGAAGATAAACAAGAACTCGACAAGTTTTGCGATGCTCTCGTATTGATCCGTAAAGAAATTCGAGAGATTGAAGACGGCACGATGGATATCAGAGTAAATCCGTTAAAAATGGCACCACACTCACAAGAACAAGTGGTCAGTAGCAGCTGGGAGAGGCCATATACAAGAGAACAAGCTGCATTCCCAGCCGATTTTGTTACTCCCGACAGTAAAATATGGCCGACTGTTTCCAGAATTGATGATATTTACGGGGACAAACATTTGGTTTGTACCTGTCCACCTATTTTACCTGAATATGTTGTTTAAAACAATTTTTGTCCAAAAAACTTTTAAAAAAACTTAAAAAATTTAAAAAAATTCCATTGTTGGTTGCCTATATTAAATTACTGCTGCTATAAATAAAAGACGTTAAATTATTTATGAATGGTTTATTTTGATCATTTCCTGCAGATTTGACGCAAAGGTTGTTGTTATGTATTACTAATATTCAACAAGTTTGGTTTCTCTTTTCATAATATACATATTTTGCACAATATACATATTTCCTAATTGTTTATTTGTATTTTATCAATTCGCGGTAAGTAATA